TACTCATAAACTTGTTTTGACATTGAGGTTTTAGGTGCTGCTTGCTTGAATCATTTTAATCTTGGATATATGGAACTGAAGATTCAGGCTTCTGTGCATTCCTTCAAAAACACACAAATGTGGATTGCCTTAAAAGTTTCAAACAGTAGAAGTTTCTTGTACTGTAAAACTTTGCACCGGCTTGATGGCTTGTTCTTTTGATAATTTGACATGTTTTCCATTCTTTCTATACACTTATGTTCTTTTTTCTTTATTGAGTGGGGGGTTTGGTTATGTTGGTCCATAAAATGAGTTTGTTTATATATTAAATTTGAGATACTAGTTCTTATGGTTTAAAAGAAAATGTAAGCATATTATAAGTTTTGCCTTGATGTAATGTATTTGTTCTATACAGATATGGTCAAGAATAAGGGTTTCTTGCCATCAGGACCTTCGGAAATATCAATTCAGCGAAATCAAATAAAGGAAATCATTTTTTCTTTACTTCCTGCATGCAAGGAACCTGATCCTGATTCTGAAGTTCCATTTAAAGCAGATGCGATAATTGCCAACCCACCAGCATATGGTTAGATTTCATCATCTTATTTATATTCTTTTGGGTTTTCAAGTATCAATGCCTTATTCAAAAAAATTGCATTGGCCACACACAATATTTGACTTTAAGAACTAAGAGGCCATGGTGTTTGTGTGCTTGTGGTTTCTATTACCATTGAAATAATTAAGACCCTTTGTTCACTTATTGATACGTGAAAGGCAATTTACCTCTGACAATATTGATGGGTGCATGGTGACATTGTCTGAAGCACTTAATGCTCCAAAAGTCTCCATGTTTATGTTCTTTGGAAATTACAATAACGAGAAGATCTATTTAAATTAAACATCTGAACTGTTTAACTTGATATCAAAAGCTGAACGAATTTTATGTTGTTTGATATCATTTAGTAGACTCTTAACTTTGCAAACATTTGTCCAGGGCATTCTGATGTTGCTGAGGCATTAAAAGTACCACTTCATATATTTTTCACAATGCCATGGACGTAAGTATTGTCTTCTGGGTTAAAATCCAATTCTGATTTTTTTATTAAATGATTAATTTGTTGATTAACAGTTTCATCATACATTGTTCATGAGATATTTCTCAACGACGCAGTAGATTATCAATGTAGGAGCTCTTCATCACATATGTATATATGTTAAATGTGCTGAGAAACAAATGACCCTGGAAAGGCACCAAAAGGGTCCTTTTGCATCCAATATTATTTCATGTTTGCATGTTGCTTACTGTCTTCCCTATCAACTTTGCATATTTGATCAATTGCTTAATAATTATTTAACTTTGCTTAGGCCTACAAGCGAATTCCCCCATCCTCTATCCCGTGTCAAGCAACCAATTGGATATAGAGTGAGTCTCATATGATACTTATAATCTTACTGATTTTGATTTATATTGATGCTTTTGTTGCCCAGTCCTATATTTTGTGATTAAACATTTTTCTTTTCTTTCCAGCTATCATATCAAATAGTCGATGCATTAATTTGGCTAGGAATTCGAGACATGATAAATGAGTTTAGGAAGAAAATGCTGAAGCTGAGACCTATCACATATTTAAGTGGATACTATAGTTCTCCTCCTGACGTGCCCTACGGGTATATATGGAGTCCTCATCTTGTTCCCAAACCTAAAGGTCATATATTTGAATCTTTTTTCCTTCAGATGAAATCTTTGCATGAATTGACATGATGTAAAGTCACAGTTTTCTGCTATGCTAAGTTGAACTGTTCATTTAGAATGTCATAATGGAAGATTAATTTCAGCCTTTCTTTCCAAATTGCTCAGAGGTTGCCTTTATTTCTACAGTACTTTAATGCATTGCCCACTAGGTGTTGAGTGACTTCCAGTTGCAACCATCTGTTGAGAGCTTGTTACTATTTTTTTCCTTGTGGATTTCCTTACTACTCTTCACCTTGTTTCTTACTTGTTTTGCACTTTATAGTATGTTGATAATCTTGTTGGCTAAAAATGTATGTGATTCACAATCTACTGTCTGCTAGATCCCTCCAGCAGTTTATGAATCTTCGAGATAATTTATTTCATTAAAAGTAAACTAAAGTCATAATTTCATTTAATATGGAGAAACAGTACCAGAAGATGCCTTCTGCCATTACTCAGACTATTTATTTTTAATTTCTTGCTGAAGATATGATAGAGATACATGGTCATTTCAGAATCCTCATGGTGGTTTTGGATTATTAAGCATATCTTATTACATGGGCTTCTTCTTGTTCTAGCAATATTATGCTGATAATATTGCAGAAGCCTCAGGAATAGGATTTGATGTGGTAGAAATAGACCAGCTTGACCAAATGAGAATACAGTATGCTGATTATTTGCTGATATGCTCTACGTTTTACTTGTTTGGCAGATTGGGGACCGAAGGTTGATGTTGTTGGTTTTTGTTTTCTTGACCTTGCTTCAAATTATGAACCCCCAGATTCACTTGTGGAGTGGCTGGAAGCTGGTGAACAGCCTGTCTACATTGGATTTGGTAGCCTTGTGAGTTTGTTGCAGCTTTCTCTATTCATGTTTAATATTCTTTTCCCAGTTCTATCCCAGAGTAGCTCTGTTTTGTCCTTACCCTAAAAAAATTACTTGTTCCTTCCCAATTAAAACAATCAACCAAAGCCACAATCTCCAAAGAGTGACCACCTTCATGTTGGTCCACAACGAACAGGTTGTGGAGGTCTATTCATGACAGATGACAAATCGACCTTTTGGTTGTTCAGTTGTTCAATATCTAATTTGACTGAGGCATGTCTAATACACGCAGAGTATACCTCTGAATTGCATAGTTAAGGTTACTTGATTGTACATTTGATTGAAATGGTAAATTGTCTTGCTTGCTAAATTTTTTTTTTATGTGTATTGTATTAGCCTCTTGAAGAACCAGAGAAAATTACCAATATTATTCTTCAAGCTCTGGAAATAACTAGACAGAGAGGCATCATCAACCGAGGCTGGGGTGGCCTTGGTAATTGTAAGTCTTGATTCTTAAAAAAATATTACTTTCAAGCACATTGTATTCTTATGCTTCTTTACATCTGAAAGCCTTCATATGTTTCTCTTCTCAGTGACAGAACCAAGTGATTCTGTGTATTTAGTGGACAATTGCCCCCATGATTGGCTATTCCAACGATGCTCTGCTGTGGTAAATTTCAATGCTTTTAATTCTTCTTAATTTGGTTGGGATTTCACTGCACTGGTGTTCAGAACGTCACATGAACTTGATGCACCTTTTTGTCGTTTTTTGTTTTGTTCCCCCCTTGGATAACTAGGCTACTCCCGGTTTCTCACTGGATATGAAAAAATTTCTTAGGTGCATCATGGGGGTGCTGGGACAACTGCTGCTGGTCTGAAAGCTGCGGTAACTGATAATGCTATATCCTTGGGGAGTCTTACATTTGTAAATGATTCAGTTACTCATTTGGCTCATATTCTGTGTTCTCTTTAGTGTCCAACAACAATTGTACCATTCTTCGGGGACCAGCCATTTTGGGGGGAGAGGGTGCATGCCAGAGGAGTAGGTCCTGCACCCATCCCAGCTGATGAATTCTCGCTTGAAAAGTTGGTCGATGCCATACGCTTCATGTTAGATCCAAAGGTATTTACCATTTTCTTTTTAAACTTCCAAGTGATTTACATATAATTTGTCATTTCGTGAGTGTAAACTTATCACACATGCATACGCACTGATTTAATTGAAGTTGACATTGTTTTGTAATCAATTTCAACATGCAAATACTTGTCACAACTCGGGTTATTTTCTGTTATTTCAATCCTTAGTGTGGACCTGAATAGATTAAATTAACAAAGAAATAACTATTTTCGGTTGAAAGGTTAAAGAGTGTGCTGTTGAAATTGCCAAGGCCATGGATGGCGAAGATGGGGTGACAGGAGCAGTGAATGCCTTTCACAGGCACTTTCCTCACAATAAATCTGAGGATAAACCCGAGTCATTGCCGGCTAGAAGAGGCTTATTTTCCATCAGGAGGTGTTTTGGCCACTCCTCCCCCTACACATGATTCTTCACTAGTCCACAGCGATGTTTTCTTCCTATCATGTGCAAGACATCAGAAATGTGAAATTCTGACATCCTCTTACTAGGTTACTTAACATTACATCGTTTTTGTTTTGCTCGTCAAACAAATCTTCTACAGATGCCTTTGTTTTCATTATTAGGTAATGTCTATTAGGGCCACTTCCGCCAGGACAGTAAAAACTATTATTGTAAGTGTTTTTAATACACTGAGAAAGATGTGATGCTTTGGTAGGGAGCTTGGAAATTTTCAAAGCTGAACGACTCTTCAAGAGACTTAAGAACTATATTGATGGCTTAAAATAAAGCCATTGGCCGCTGCACTATACACAGTTTCTTTCTTAGTCTTTCGAGACCCCTCTATCTTTTGAGACCAAAGCAACACACAACCTTCACGCCACACAAAACCCCTTCATACTTCTATTTATAAGGAAATACAAAGTCCACCACAGTGTATAAAATTCCTATTTATACGGTATAGCCGGGCGGCTATACTATTAATATATTGTACTTACATAGTTTAGCCGGGCGGCTATACTTCTATAATTTCTATTTATGGACTTTAAAATATTCTACTTTTGCACCGAAGAAATAATAATTAAAATATAATTATTAATTAAAGTAATTAAAAAAACTAAAGATATTACTTAATTACATATATTAAATAAAAGAAGTTGGCCAAAAAAAAAGTAAAGAAACTAAATTTATACTTTTATCTGGTATAGCCGCACGGCCATACTGTTAAAATATTGTTTCTATGGCCGTTTGGCTATAAAATATTGTTCAGATGGCATTGGCCGGCGGCGGTACGTTTATAATTTCTATTTATAGAGTAGAGCCGAGTGGCAATACTGTTATAATTTCTATTTATGGAGTATAGCCGCTCGGCGTTACATGAAAAATTTCCTATTTGTAGAGTATTTCGTATTTCTAAAAATTCAAATGCATCTTTGTGTAACCGTGAAGCATGAGTTTCTACTCTTTCAATTCTCGCAGCTGACATTTCTGGAGGAGACAGTTCATGCAATACAGTGGCATTATTTCTGCTAGTAGAATCCAAGGAGTCCCACGTAGTTTTTGGCGCAGCCAGGTCAGGTTGCTTCTGAGAACTCAAGTTTAAGTCAACATTGCATTCCACAGTGCCACATGAATCTGCTAGTAAGAATTCTTTTAGATAAAGTATTGTAAGTTAAACACAACGTGAATTGATAATGTAACTGGTTCAAATGCATTCCTAGAAATTAATGAAGTCCTACCAGTGGGGATAACAGACAAGTCCAAATAAGGAAGTGATATGCCTAAATGAGGGGTTTCTGTTGCTTTAAGATCATCACTTGATAAAACTTGAGCTTCATCTCTTATCAATGCATGGGTTTTTCCTGGTTTACATAGAGTTACAGCTTCAGAAGAGGAGTCTCTAGTATCACTACTTTTTCTTAAATGATCTGTGCAAAGAACTTCAACATCCATTGCACTTTGAGCGCTCTGGCCAAGAAATTTTCCAGCCTGTTGTAAGGCGTCACTGCCTGTCTTTTCCTCATCATGCAGTTGTTATTCTTCATGCATCAAACTGTCCCAATTAATGAAGTAAGCAATTAAAATATAAGAAACCAATAAGTTCTGAAGTTAATGTGAACCTACATTTTAGTTCCAGCGGCAGCAGATCCAGCATGAGTGTATGTAAAATCAATGATTTGTAGCAAAGAAATTAGATCGGTGATTACAAATTACATATACTGAAATGAAGTATCAGGTTAATAATAGCGAAGTCAGTCACTCGAGGACAACTAAGCACTAACAATGATGCACCTTTTATTCTGACCTCGTTTTTATACATATGTATTATTATAGAATATATGTAAACAAGAATGTATTTTCCATGTCGCATCTTATTTCTATTTCTCATTTCACAGGATTGTGTTTGTGCTCATAGGCAGATACCTTATTTCCAAATTGACAAAAGATAGGCTTCATATTACATACCTCTCTGGAGTGCTTCAAATCTGCTTCAGATCTACTGAGCAGTTTCAGCGGAAGTTTCTTCATAAGAACTGGTATTAGTACAACTACAAACAGAATTATTCAATTTGGTTATCAATGAGCAGCTATTTTCCACAGGCAGTGATTTCCTTTGTATATTAGACTCATCCATATCCTTTTTTCGTTTAATCCTTCGGCAGAAAGTAATCAATGGAGTGGTCAACTTGTTTCGCGCAGCTGAATCACCACCTAATTTATCTAACTTATTTCTAGAGAATGAATCAGTGTCTTCTAAGTTTGATGTATTCAATCTTGGCGAGCTACCATCACATTCAGAGCTGCTTTTTCTTTCAAATGCTGCTGCGGCTGATGATGATTTTTGTCTGACAAAATCAGCAGTAATTACAGCGGAATTCATCACCAATTGAGAAACTAACCTCCCTCCAACATTATTATCATCAACCAATGCTCCAGCATTAGCATTTGAAGATGAGCCAACTTTCTTGCCACTAGACTTATTCCCATATGCATCCCTTTGGGAGGGAACCTCATCAAGACTTGTCAGAACGGTTTTAATTGGTATTTGTCTTGTGCCAGATACTTCAATGCGTTTCTTTTCCTTATGGGGCTTATCTAGGCATTGGAGATGATACGACTGAAGGCATTTGCCAAGTGCTTCAGGTTACCCCCGACACAACACACAAAACATACATGGCATACTTTCAAGAAAAAGAGGCAGGTGAGACAGAATAAAGCAATGACCTTAAAAATAAATTATAGGTCTAAGACAACTAAGAGAAGATCTTCGTAGAAACCTGAATTAAAGAACCAAATCTAAATGTTCATCTCAACTAATACGCTTTCAAGGGTCGGTTGAATAGGCACATTCTGGTGGTATCTGTATCTGGTAATCCCTTAAAACCTTTTTCTTTTCAGTATTTTAACGAAATTATTAGAGGAAAAATAGGGAAGGATGGATTATGAAATTATCTACAAAAGATGATTGACATACAACATATATCCCTATGAAACAAACTAAAAAACGTGAATAGGTTCCAACTTTCTAAAATCTCACCGCAGAATTTCTGTTATAATGTTCTGATGAATGCTTATCAATCAAATGAACTTGCAAGTCTGGTGGTTTGCTTAAAGAAGTATCATCGGGAGCAACAAAAAGTGAATTATGGCACTCATGTCCCTGTACAGGATCTGTTCTTGATTGCCCCTTTCGCTTATACGTTAGCAACACTTTGCTTCCTGACATTTAAGCTTTCAAAAAGAAATCTTGCTGCAATTCCAAACTCTAGGACCGCATTTTTAACATGAAATTTGTATCTATTCCACTATGTTCAGTCTCATTTCAACACAGAATAACCTGCATATGTTAAGGAAGAATATCCAATTAACTAAACAGCAAGTCATGACTCATATAGTTAATACAGTTATGAGTAGCAACACAAAGATTGCTGAAGGGCAAAAGACGGATTTCGACTACTCTGAAATAGTGAATCAGTGCATATGTACTAACATTCTCCACCTAAAACACAGGCAGTGAGGTACAAGCATAAATGCCGTTTGCATATTAAAGAATAAGCATAGCAAGAGAAGCTACACGCATGCCATTCACATAAATGTTTAAACCTCAGAATCAATTTGAATTCAAGCAGCCTAACGCATGCCATTCACAGAATAAGGAACAAACAGAACAAGAGAATCATTTTGCGTTTTGCATTCATGCCCTTCTTATTAAGCTAAACAGTTACAGAGAACCTCAGGTTCTCAGCAATGCCTGGGTGATTATACACATTTCTCACATGGGTTTACTAAGCAAGCATCATTCTCGTCCAAGTTTTGCTTTATTTGATCTTTTGGCGCACACACCCAAACCCTGGACTAAGCTAGACCCACCAAATTTTCTTTATTTTGTTTTGTGTTTCTTGTTTCCCAGCGCTAAACTCATTTTCCATGACGCAAAGCTAAATTTCCTTCCACAGAAGACAGACACCAAGTCAGCAAATTTTGTATTTTTTTCTTCTGCGCCATGTCGTCAGTGCGAAGAGAGAAGAATATAAGGAGCGAAACAGGGAGAGGAATGGAATTGGATGAATTAAGAGTCTCATGATCTCTTCTTCTATGGACCAGACTTGTGCTTCACTGCTTCGGCTTCCCAATCTCAAGCTCAAATTTGCAGATAAAATTTTTCAATTTCGGGTTTCAGACTTTCAGTCAATCACAGTGTTTGAAAGGTCGGCCTAGGCGGCTAGGTGGTCGCTAGGCCGGCGCTAGGCGGCTAGGCGGTCTCTAGGCGGGCGCTAGGCGGCTAGGCGGTCGCTAGGCGGGCGCTAGGCGGGCGCTAGGCGGCTAGGCGGCTAGGCGGTCGCTAGGCGGCTAGGCGGTAGCTAGGCGCCTAGGCGGGTTGGGTCTTTTTTCAGCGCCGAACCCGGAGGACGTAGCAGTGACTGCGAGAGAAAGTTCCGTCCACTGCAAGAGAAAGTTCCGTCCACTGCGAGTGCAAGCTTCGTGTTCGTTCGAATATATTTAAATCGTATAGCCGCGCGGCTGTACTTTTAAAATATTCGAATGTAATTAGACAGTATAGCCGTGCGGCTGTACATTTATAATTTCTATTTATATCGTCGAGCCTTGCGGCTATAATGGTTAAATATTGTATTTAAAGCTGATCGGCTATACTGTTAATATATTGTATTCAGAGAGTATAGCCGCACGGCTAGACGGTTATAATATCTATTCGTGCATGTATTAAAATAAATAAAAGGTGATGCTAATAATAAGACCCAAGACATCATCCTTAAAATGCTCCAGTCCTTCAAACTTGCGAGCGAGTTCAACCTGGTCAACATGTAATAAGTGGTTAGCAGTGAAAGCAGAGCATAACACTCCTTACATGATTGGCATTGAAGAGCCAGGCGCAAAATATTCCATATTAAAAAAAGGATCATACCGTACGAGTCAAAAGGAGAGAACAAGCTGCAATCGGGGGCATGAAAGGGAAGAGCCTGGCTCAAACGCTTACCAGATAGCCCGGATCCGTCCCAGACGCTTACGAAGAAGGCAAAGTCCCCGCTCACTCTGCGGCTAAACCCGAAGAGAAGGAACGAGAAAAACCGAAATCTTCCTACTCGAACAAGAAGTCCTATAGTTTACAACTCTTCTTTATATAGTAAACAAAAACAGAATGGTTCCACCTACTCAAAACTCAGAGGGGATGCTGCCTGCTACTAAAATCCCGGTTTTTGCAACAGTTGCGTTCTTTTATAAAAAATTGAAACTAGTTCATCTTGCTATGATAAACCACATTGGTGGTTGCTCTGTAAGAATTTAATGTCAAAAAAAGATTTTATCCGTTATTATATGTAATATTGCATCCCGAATTGCATCCCTTTCAAATTATACCCACATGGTCCTTATAATCCATTTACCTGACATCTTAAGGAACTTCAAAAACTATCCCAATTGCACTCACACTGCTAATATAATTTCGGATGATTGTATTCTTAACTACTCTGGTTAATAGTAAACTATTTCCATTCTTTCTTTTAATATTATTATTATTTCTTTTTTAGAAAGCCACTGCTTCTATGTTAGATGTGTAAAATCAAACTTCCGATGATTACTGCATCAATACAGATCCTAGTTTTTTAGTACAGTAATATATTTATTTTTCACTCAAGTCATGTTTTGTTGATAGATTTTACCTTTTTGAACCAGAGCAATATCATTAACTCCAAAACTAAAAACAGTATAAGAGAAAAGAAATGGCACATATACTCCAAAGGAAACGTATCATACAAATATCAGGGCAGTTACTATGGCTGAAATCAAAACTTGCAAGGAATCGTACTGGTCCAGCTGATGAAATTGCATCAGCAACCAACTGAAGCTTCCCCATTTATGAAGTCAGCACGACTAGTTTGTTATTAACACTCGCAAAAAACGAATTTCAACCAAATAGAAACCCACAAAAGAAGATGGAATATAAAGGTATACCAATTTCTGAGCTGTTTTTGCTGTGTCCTTTCGAGAATGAACGAATACCATTGCATGTTAACCTTGCCTGAGTGATTCAACAACCTGGCAGAAAAAATATCAATCAGTTAAATAATCATTCAAATACATATATTACACAAAGGAGAGCCTAAGGAAAAAGAAACCTTCTTGTAGCATATACCATTCTGCAGTTCAATACGAGGGCTGTAAAATTCCGCTCACTAATACGGATATACTGCTGTGCAAACAGGGCAATAACTAGAATCAAAGAAGAAGAGTCCTGCTTCTGGATTCACTCTCAGAAACTGTAATTTAAGTAGTATAGACTTTTAAATATTAATGTTTAAAATTCTAAAGTGTATTTTTAGGAATTTTTGCATAGAATTTGTTTCTGAGAACGAGTTTGATAGAAGAAATGAATGGGGTGTAACTGGTAGGAAAATAGAGTAAATATACAGATAAAATAGTTCACAAAAACAATAACCTCAGTCTCATTCATGTGGCGTCTCAACATTTCATTGTATGTTTCAACACTCGAGCATTGAATATAAAAGTGGCTTGCAATTTGACCAATTTCTGTACAATAGAAGTTGCTACTTTTCTCATCAAAGTGCATCATTTTTGCTTTGTCCAGGGCACGTGCAGCATCTGCTATGAGAGCTCTTTGCTTTAAACTCAAGGAAGGATGCAAAATGCAGAAAGGACGCTCTAATACCACTTGGTGCAGTTCAAATATGAACTCGCAGAGAATAGTGACAACTGAAAGAAAACAGCAGATAGATAGCTAAAAAGCTAACTCTAGGTTTTTGAAATATAATCAAAGTCGGATTACAAGAGTTGTCCATACAAAATACTTATAAGAGATCATCTGAAACAGAAGATTAAGACCATATTTAATGACTGACAGCAAGTCCTAGGTCCAGCCCAACAAACGTGAGTCCCAAGTCATCGACTATACTCATCTTGAAACATGATAGGTTTCCTAACACCTCTCTTGGGCTTAGTCCTTGCAATGCTAGAATCATTAAATGATTGGGCATTGGAAGTAGTTTTGCTAGCCGTCTCCATCAATGGCCCACCATCATGAAGGGCAAGCACAATCCCGTTATGCGGGGACTGCGGTGGGTTGTCATGAAGGGCCTGCACAGGCACGTCAGGTGCATCAAGCGCCAGCAATTCCACAGCGTATGGAGGACCTACCAAACCAGCTGGAGGTACCACAAAACAAAAATAAATTAAAAAATCAGAAATTTTAAAAAATTAAAATTAAAATGGAAGAGCCGTGCGGCTATAAAAATCAGAATTATTAAAAAATTTAAAGAAACCAGAATGAACTTACCTATTCGTGGCCCTCTCAAAGGAAACCTGCCAAGCCAGCTGTTAATGTACAGGGGAAAGTGTCCGTGGTCAGCAAGATTTAAATCTTTCTTTGGCCCCTTCTTTCTTACTTCAACCACCACATCAGGAAGCTCTGGAATCGAATCCAGGTCTATATTCTCGAAACCAAACTGCCTAGCATAGTTGTTTGGTTTGTGAGGGACGACTGTGTGATAATTGATGCACAGAGTCACTGAGCATGCCTTAGCCAGCTGAAGGGCATAACGCTCATAACCCTCCCTTAGAAGAGTATGGCTAAGCCTCTGGTAAGGCCGCTGTATGAACTACAATAGTAAATACAACATAAATTACATAAGAACTATATTTCCATATAGGCTCCAAAATTCGGTTGCATTAGTTAAGAACTGTATTTAAATAAGTCTTTTAAATGACTTACATTTTCATCAGTCACGTTCCCCAAAATTTGCATGTAGACTCCAAACTTGGGAACTGTGTTCGCCTTCAAGCGTTTGTGGAGAAGGTGGGACCACGACACCATTAATGGACACTCCATCGGGAGATCCACTGTCTCCCCTATCAGCTCTATACGTAGTGGCTTTATATGCTCTATTGCAAATACCTGGACGAGTAATAAACAAAGATCAGAAAAGTAGATAAGTTAAAACATCAAATCCAAATTTAGTTAAAAGTGAGAATGGTGATGTTTAAACTACTTACCATGAGAGCATAGGCCAAGCCGTTTACGATTCCTCGATCCAAAGAGTTGTACAAGCTCGCCCATGCGGCTGCGCCCCATGCATAGCTACCAACCTCCTGAAGATTGTCCAAGAGCCCCAAATACTGGGCAGAAACTAATCCAGTGCAGTCATCGGGTATTAAATATGACCCAATGACATACATGATGTAGGCTCTAAGATAGTGTGCCCACCCATCCTCATCTGGACGTACTGGGTTATTACTATATTTTTCTCTTAACCAACTAAGCCTAATCCTCCCTCCATCCAAAGACTCTGGAGGAGGATCAATACCAAAAGCATTAAAAAATAAATTTTCGGTTTTCCCTATCCTACCAATAACCGGTCTACCATCAATCGGCATACCGGTGATGAGAAGGACATCTACTAAACTAAAATAGAGTGAATTACCATTAAAGATAAAACACTTTAAATTACGATCATAGTGTCGTAGCAAAGCGTTTACCATGGTACAATCCAACCTCATTTGGAACTTAAAACGTTCAAAGAATCCTAAACCTATCCTAGTTAATGCCTCCCTAAGTTCCTCAGTTATTGGCCAACGCACCAAATTGTTCAACGGTTCATGTGGCGTCTAAAACAAAAAAAATTTAAAAAACACATATTAGTGTCTAGTTATACTACTGCTGGCCAGCCTTGCAATATCTGAAATAAAATGGGCAATGAGTTACTTACATGTGGGGCTGGAGCCGGAACTGGAGCTCGAGCTAGAGCTGGAGCTAGAGCCGGAGCTTCCATATCTAGAGCTTCAATATCTAGAGCTTCCATATCTTCAAAAGAATGAAAGAAAACCCCAAATTTCAGATGATGAGTAAATAACAGAAATGTTAAATATGTTAAATATGTTATGTACCATTTCAGAAATGTTACAAAAACAAAGTACAATCACATGTACCATGCCAAAGTGGAAACTGATAAGCAGAGTATAAACCACCTTAATGACATTACATTGCGTTATATTCCATAAGCTCAGATTAATTTAATCTCAGGCCCCAAAAGCCTTAATAGACCAAGAAAGATTAAAGCTAGAATAATTATATGTGAAGGATTTCTATGTTTAATTTGTCTACTCTATGTGAAGGATCCCTATAAGGGATCTTGAATTTGGGTTTAAGCTCATGGATAAAGTCCATAAAACCTGCCCCCCTCAGCTGCCTTAATAAACCCAAAACCAATCAGCCAGCTAAACATATTTCATTCAACAAATCCTAACCAATCATCAGACTAAACATTTTTCATTAAAACAGCAGCCATTTAAACATATATCATTCCAGAAAACAAGAAATCCTAACCAACCAACCATATAATAAAATCAAAAACACATACATTTAAACTCAATCCTAGCAGAAAACCATGTAAACAATTCCAACACACAAAAGAACAGCTCAACCCTGTCAGTCTCAATCAAACCTAACAGAAAATCAACATATACATTTCATTACATCATTAAAGTTAAATTATACCTAAATAGCAGCACCAACAGCACCAGCACAGTAAAACCCTAGCTCAACTTGCCCAATTTCTGTCCAAAAACAGAAAAACCCCCCATCAATATGAAATTCAGAAAACAAAAACCTTATTTAACCCCTACTTCAACCCTCAAATTAATGTAGCCGACCCCTAATTTAGGAGAAACCCACTCAAATCCAAACCCGCAATTTAGCAGAAAAACCAATAAAAAACACTCTAATCGAAACTCAAATCAAAACCCTTAAATTAGTATTTTTTAAAAACGCCAATCGAAACCCTAATCTAACCGAAAATCCAAATTCAAACGCTATTCAATACTTACCCAGCGACGAGAAGAAGAGACAGCGACGGTGGAGGTGAGAGGTTTCTGAGAGATTAGGGATTTGATTTCAGAGTGACGAGAGGTTTTCAGTCTCGGGACATGCCTGCTAAGTATAATACCCTCAAAGCGACATTTAACATTTGTCTTTTCTATTCTTATTTTTATTTTAAATGTTAGGGTGTCATTTAACATTATATCTATTCTGTGCTATCTTTTCTGATATATTTTTTTTTTTTTTTTTTTTTTTTTTTTTTTCATTTAATACAGCGGTTAGTATAATTTCAATCAGTTTCAGGGAATGGCATGGGATTCAGGGTTCAATTTTCTCTTGAATGTTTTTTTTCTTTCCACAAATAAATTACTGTGGTAGTTATTATTTCCGTTACTCGCCCTTTGGACATGTGTAGGTGACATGTTTGCCACATACGAGGTAGAATATTTGAACTTGTTGGATGGTCAACTTTTTTTATTTTAATATTTATATAATTTGTGCCAATTAGTTTTCTTTTTTAAAAAAAAATTAAGAAAAAATAACATGAGTAATTATGTTCCATAAAAATATGACATATTATATAATTTATTTTTAATTTTAATTTTTTTAATATAAAAATATGAATTTACGATATTATCATCATTTAATTAATAATTTCAATTCTTAAAATTTCAATTAACTAATGGTATTTTCTGGTATTTTGAATGTTTCACCATTCTCTGCCTTTTGCTTTATATATATATATATATATATATATAAATATATAGATAAATCACTGAAATTTTTGCATGCCTCTCACGATGATCATATACAAGCCTTCAAAGCTTCTCCTTTTCTCAAATAAATAAAGCATTTTGAAATACTCTCATTGCTGATTTACAGACTCGGGTAGCACTTGCAATGCTTGTTCGAAGATTTAACTTTCAAATGGCACTTGGTGCTCCTGAGGTAAGTAGCCCCATGTTGTTTCCTGCATGTATTATATCTACCCCAATTGGAACTCTTTCGAATTGTGTATTTGTTGGTGGCATTGTTGTGAACCACAATAAGTTTTATAAGCTGAGTGAACTTGTAAAAACCTGTAGTGTTATATTGAACTTAAAGTATGTGATTCTATTTCTGTCTAAAGAATGGTTCTCCAAGCAGGTCAAGATGACTACGGGAGCAACAATTCACACCACAGAAGGGTTGAAGATGACAATTATCAGGAGAATAAAACCTCCCATAGTGCCCACATTGGAGATGCTGACATTTGAAGTGGATACATCTGTAGGTGTTTCAAAAGGGGATTCTTTATCGGTTGCGGTTTCATTGCGGTAAATTATCGGTTGGTTTTTGCGGTTTTTTCGGTTTTTTCGGTTTAAAATGCCACCCCTAGAAATATGTGTGCATTAAAATTAAAGCTCTAACATACCTCCTCTTGGAGCTTCGACATGACGCTAGGCTCCTGCAGCCAATCAAAAGGTAAAGTCGTGATGAAATTTGTAGTCCTCATTTATTTAATAACTTTCTAATCTATTTTAAGAAAATGAATTAAATATATTTGATTCAAAATAGTTATATGCCGTAGATTCATCACACCCTTATAAACTTTGCAAGCATCTCAGATTTACAAGTTGGTATAGTTCTGCATTTCAAGTAAAGATCCATTTTATTACCCAAAATTCCCGGTTACAGGGCGAGGTGTAAGCCTCAAGTGAAGATCCATATTACTATGCACTAAAGAACATAAAAGTGAGAAATTAGTTGCTTTACTAGGCCTCAAATGTGTTACCGTGGAAAGAAGATAAAAGGTCCATGTTAAAACTGCAGCTGATGTTTCATGCCCAGCTATAAGCTTTGTCATCAAGTCATCACGGAGTTGCTTGCTAGAAACCTACAAATAGTTGTGTAAAAAGTTTAATCATTTGAGCTGCTGACAAGTGTGTATGATAGTTGCAGTTACATACATCATCCCCAGACGCCAAAAGGAAATGGAGAACACTAGGATCTTGTTCATTCATATACTCCTCATGAAATTGTAGCTCTTCTTCGTCTACCATCCTCTGCAGATGACAAACAAAAATAATAACAAAAACAAAACTGCATCAGCTTAGCAGCCATGCCCAGCCATGTATCATTTTGAAAGAAAAAGGAAAAAAAATTGTGATTGGAAATATAGTAGCAAATATTACCAAGAAAAGAAAAAGAAAAAAAAAAGAGGACCACAGCTCTATGTTGTGCCAAGAATTGATGACTTTACCTTGCAAATTGCTATCAAATCATCCAGCGTAGTATTGATTAGTTTGAGGGCTGTTGCGACCTTTCTTTGTCGTGGTGAAATGTCTTTCCATATTGGGATCTCCCATACTGGTATTGGTGCAACACTACGATCTTCTGCTTCTCTGAGGACAGTGTACACAGCCTGCTCTAGCCAAAATAGAAAGACAGCAATATGTTAAAGTACTGCTATAAAATCAACTACAAAAGAGAATTGATGAAGATAAGTGGAAGCTAAACAGGAAAGAACATCGTATAACCAAAGCTAAGATAAAAGGAACGAAAAATAATACCTCAACTATCCCAGTGTCATCTGTTAATGAATCAAAATCATAATTAAAAAGTGCCTTGCCAATGATGTCCAGTGTCAAACGGGAGAAAAGTGACTCCATCTCTACATCTTCCCCATCAGATGCAGCAGCATCTAGCTTTTGGCAAAGCCTCTCTGTAGCTTCTCCAAAGAGCTTAATCATAGCTGCTACATACTACAATTTTAAATAAAAAAACTAGAATCAACAATAAAAAAATAGTTACAAATAGTTCCTATGGTCTGCACCAAGGTTTACCTTACAGTGAGGTAGCTCCAAAATTGCATGAGAAATTGGACAAGGTTCTTATTAGGCGTACATTTCATAAAATTTCTATGTGCAGTTTTCTAAGAAGAAGGTTTTTCTTCATAATAGACAAAATCAATGTGCTCTTTAAATTTTTTAAAATTGGTTGACATACATAATATTGTAATCTTTCTGAATTGCAAGGAGCAATTTGAAGGAACAGCTGTTCTACAGCAAAATCAAATGACTATTCCTCAAAATTGCTCCTTCTGGTGCAGGGAACTGTGGGAAAGGGCACACAACACCTTCTGATGCAACTAATAGTTGAATTACATCAGAACATCTGTTCCTCCTAATTCTGATTTTGGTTTTCATATCACAGGTCTTGGTTCACACTTTGATATCGCACTTTTCCCTTAAACAGGCTTTTCTTCCACTGGAAACATTGAATGTAGGGAGCAGGATAAGAACTAAATACCTTCTGATGCAATGCGGGGACTATAGCACGTCGTCGAACACGCCATATTTCACCGTCTGCTGGGATGAGTCCTTTCCCCATGACAAACTCTAGAATTTCAGCCAAGATTCCCTGTGCACAAAGTAGCTATCAACTGAAAGACAGACAGAGAGAGGACAGGAAAAGAAATTTACCAATTGGGTTTACCTTTGAATAAGCCTTTGAATTATCCCTTAATATATGTTTGGCAATGGAAGGATCAGAAACGATCAAAAAGGACTGCAGAAAGAATCAACAAGTAATTCACTGAGAAGCGGCACTGCCGTCATAACAATCTAATAAGTTTGAAAGAGACTACTATTAATCAAATGAGATATATATTAGAAATAAAAACCTTTGGTCCAAAGGTCAGCCTGTAAATTCCACCATAGGTGAGGTAAAGCTCATATAGTGGGATGAAAAAGGCCTCACTTTGAATGGCTCTAATTGCTCCTTTTGCCTCTGGAATTTTGGGAGAGCCATCATGTGCATCAGCCCAACTGAATAAAAAATCTACAATCTCCCGAGGAACACCCAGCTTCGACAAACCGTTCTTCAATTGAGATGGATAACTAATTACCACATCCAAAAGACTTGGAGTTATGAATCAACACACAAAAATTTGGATGTATAATAACACAAAAGTAAAGCTTTCCAACTAGCTTCTTCTAGTATTAAGTATGTTCAAAATTCGGTGACAATTTTAGTCAGAAAATTTAATCAAATGTAGCTGAAATTGCCCAACATAAGCAAAACTAAACCCATAGTTCAATCTCTAATAAGTATACCCAGTTTTCTCGACAGTGAATTCTCCTGAGGCAATCCGAGCAGACAGCTCAGCTCGCCTTTTCTCTTCAAGCAACCGCTCCACGCTCTTCACACCATCCACAGAATCAGGCTCTCTTCCATTAGAAGAAGAGCATGTAACCATAGATAAACCAAAAGTTCATGCAAAACCCACCAAAAGGGTCAATAATGGTAAGCAAAAAGGAGCTCAAAGATGGAAATTTTTTAGAATGGACGACCTCTCTGCTGGCTGAGTAATGAATTTTTAGGGACTTTTGATGTTAAACAATTTGCACTATTTCAAGACTTGATTATGTCTTCTTCTCTAACTTTGATTTGAATGGAGCAAATAGGCTTGCTAATAAGTTTCTAGCAAACAACCATTACTCAATACATAGCATGAAAACAAGTACTTGTTCTTCCCAATTAAAACCATCAACCAAAGCCACAAATCTCGAAAGAGTGACCGCCTTCGTGTTGGTCCCCAACGAACACCGAACAGGTTGTGGAGGTCTGTTCATGACAGATGACAAATCGACTCTTTCTTTGTTCACTTGTTCAATATCTAATTTGACTGAGGCATGTCTAATACATGCAGACTATACCTCTGAATTGCATATTTAAGGTTACTTGATTGTACATTTGATTGAAATGGTAAATTGTCCCGGTTGCTAATGTTTTTTTTTATGTGTATTGTATTAGCCTCTTGAAGAACCAGAGAAAATGACCAATATTATTCTTCACGCTCTGGATACATTTAGGCACATTATATTCTTATGTTTCTTTACATTTGAAATAGGGATGGCAATGGGCCGGTTAGGGACCGGGTATGGCAATACCATCCCCGCCCCACTTCCCAATTTTTAATAAGATATTTCTTGTTAAAATAATTTTCTAAAGCACAATCATATCATTGTGAAATTTTAAAAACAACCACCACAATATATTTCTTATTAAAATAATAACTCAACAAGGCAAAGAAAGTGGACACAAAACTTGAAATAATTTCAATCCAAATCTTTAGAAACTTTTTCAATAAGCACAATAAATTCATCTAGTCTTTAAGGTAACTTTGTTTATTATATTATATTAATATATATTGATTATAAATAAATATATTACTTATCGGGCCGGGTTCGGGGATGGGGATAACAATCCCATCCCCGGTCGGAGATTTTGCAAATTTGGGAATCCCCGTACCCGGCCCCGATTTCCCCCCGATAGGGCCGGGGACCGGATGGGGACCCGACCCGATGGGTATTATTGCCATCCCTAATCGGAAAGCCTTCATATAGTTCTTTTCTTAGGAGGTGTTTTGGCCACTCCTCCACATGATTCTTCACTAGTCCACAGCGATGTTTTCTTCCTATCATGTGCAAGACATCAGAAATGTGAAATTCTGATATCCTCTTACTAGGTTACTTAACATTACATCGTTTTTGTTTTGCTCGTCAAACAAATCTTCTACAGATGCCTTTGTTTTCATTATTAGATAATGTCTATTAGGGCCACTTCCGCCAGGACAGTAAAAACTGTTATTGTAAGTGTTTTTAATACACTGAGAAAGATGTGATGCTTTGGTAGGGAGCTTGGAAATTTTCAAAGCTGAACGATTCTTCAAGAGACTTGAGAACTATATTGATGGCTTAAAAATAAAGCCGTTGGCCGCTGCACCATACAAACACAGTTTCTTTCTCTTGCCCCTCAATTTACAGCATTATCTACAAACCTGACATCATCAGGCAGAAGATTAGTACAAAACACGTCGAGATTCAAGTATAACAAATCATCTGCAATGAGCAGAAGAAACCTCACCTTTTTTACCAACTAAAGAATCCCCTTTTGAAACACCTACAGATGTATCCACTTCAAATGTCGGCATCTCCAATGTGGGCACTATTGGAGGTTTTATTCTCCTGGTAACTGTCATCTTCAACCCTTCTGTGGTGTGAATTGTTGCTCCCGTAGTCATCTTGACCTGCTTGGAGAACCATTCTTTAGACAGAAATAGAATCACATACTTTTAAGTTCAATATAACACTACAGGTTTTTACAAGTTCACTCAGCTTATAAAACTTATTGTGGTTCACAACAATGCCACCAACAAATACACAATTCGAAAGAGTTCCAATTGGGGTAGATATAATACATGCAGGAAACAACAAGGGGCTACTTACCTCAGGAGCACCAAGTGCCATTTGAAAGTTAAATCTTCGAACAAGCATTGTAAGTGCTACCACAGTCTGTAAATCAGCAATGAGAGTGTTTCAAAATGCTTTATTTATTTGAGAAAAGGAGAAGCTTTGAAGGCTCGTATATGATCATCATGAGAGGCATGCAAAAATTTCAGTGATTTATATTCATAAAGTTACATAAATTTTAAAATCAAAAAAGTTGACCATCCAACAAGTTCAAATATTCTACCTCGTATGTGGCAAACATGTCACCTACACATTTCCGCGGTCCTCCACCAAAGGGCAAGTAACTGAAATAATAACTACCACAGTAATTTATTTGTGGAAAGAAAAAAAAACATTCAAGAGAAAATTGAACCCTGAATCCCATGTCATTCCCCGAAACAGATTGAAATTATACTATCTACTAAGAAGCTGCTGTATTCTGAAAATGATTTTTTTTTCTCAGAAAAGATAGCACAGAATAGATTAAATAATACAGTTTCATGTGCAACTTCAATAACTTTTACATTTGCAGTAATTTAGCCCTTTTTCGTGCTAAAACTGGTCATATGCAATGTTGATCCAAGAAGTATAGGATAGGTTTGTTTATTTAGAATCTCAGTTTCATTAAGATTTGAACATGTTTCTGAAGTACCAGATACATCTAGAACCATCTAATATGGAATGTGGCAAAATAAATACAGAGAAGACATACTTCTTTCAATTGTCATCCTCCAAACTCCAAAAAATATTAATAATATTTTATTTTCATATTTGTGTGTGCAATGATACCACACATTAATCGAACTTCTGCAGCCCCATTTTACCCACACACAAAAATTGTACAATGCTCATCCACCAAGGATGTTGACATTCAGAACTTCAATAACCAAACAGATCAGTTGTAACTCCAATATCTTGTGATATGTATCTAATTCAGAGAATAAGCAGAGAGATGAAATACCGAAAATTTTGGTTCGTCTCATTTGGATTGGGTCCATCTAATGGCCATCTTTCAGGCTTAAACTTATCTGCATCATCCCATTGTTTTGGACTGCGATGCAGATTCCAAATACAAATAAATATATCCTCATTCCTGTAAACGAAAAGATAAAAATGGCATTAGATGTTGCATATTAACAACATATATCAATAGAATTCACAGTAGATTTTCTAGGTATAACCTTTTAATAGAGTAGTCTCCAAGCCTGTCATCCTCAAGAGAACGACGAATTAACACAGGTGGTTGTGGGTAAAGCCTCAAGGACTGCAAAGGAAGAAGGAAAGTTAAACCAAACGATAAAAAATGACCATTTATACAGAAAATTAACTTTCTAAATCCTTCAGATAAAAGCTGATATGCTGACCTCATTAATAACACGAGTTGCATACTTGAGTTTCTTCACATCTTCAATTGTTGGACATCTATCTCCTAGAACGGAAACAGCCTAAGAACATGAAGTACCATAATTAAAGCAAAACAATATGATATAGGCTAAAGTATTCACGACTCCTGTGATTCTTTTGGTAGAAATATGTGTGCATTAAAATTAAAGCTCTAACATACCTCCTCTTGGAGCTTCGACATGACGCTAGGCTCCTGCAGCCAATCAAAAGGTAAAGTCGTGATGAAATTTGTAGTCCTCATTTATTTAATAACTTTCTAATCTATTTTAAGAAAATGAATTAAATATATTTGATTCAAAATAGTTATATGCTGTAAATTCATCACACCCTTATAAACTTTGCAAGCATCTCAGATTTACAAGTTGGTATAGTTCTGCATTTCAAGTAAAGATCCATTTTATTTCCCAAAATTCCAGGTTACAGGGTGAGGTGTAAGCCTCAAGTGAAGATCCATATTACTATGCACTAAGGAACATAAAAGTGAGAAATTAGTTCCTTTACTAGACCTCAAATGTGTTACCGTGGAAAGAAGATAAAAGGTCCATGTTAAAACTGCAGCTGATGTTTCATGCCCAGCTATAAGCATTGTCATCAAGTCATCACGGAGTTGCTTGCTAGAAACCTACAAATAGTTGTGTAAAAAGTTTAATCATTTGAGCTGCTGACAAGTGTGTATGATAGTTGCAGTTACATACATCATCCCCTGACGCCAAAAGGAAATGGAGAATACTAGGATCTTGTTCATTCATATATTCCTCATGAAACTGTAGCTCTTCTTCGTCTACCATCCTCTGCAGATGACAAACAAAAATAATAACAAAAACAAAACTGCATCAGCTTAGCAGCCATGCCCAGCCATGTATCATTTTGAAAGAAAAAGGAAAAAAAAATTGTGATTGGAAATATAGTAGCAAATATTACCAAGAAAAGAAAAAGAAAAAAAAAGAGGACCAAAGCTCTATGTTGTGCCAAGAATTGATGACTTTACCTTGCAAATTGCTATCAAATCATCCAGCGTAGTATTGATTAGTTTGAGGGCTGTTGCGACCTTTCTTTGTCGTGGTGAAATGTCTTTCCATATTGGGATCTCCCATACTGGTATTGGTGCAACACTACGATCTTCTGCTTCTCTCAGGACAGTGTACACAGCCTGCTCTAGCCAAAATAGAAAGACAGCAATATGTTAAAGTACTGCTATAAAATCAACTACAAAAGAGAATTGATGAAGATAAGTGGAAGCTAAACAGGAAAGAACATTGTATAATCAAAGCTAAGATAAAAGGAACGAAAAATAATACCTCAACTATCCCAGTGTCATTTGTTAATGAATCAAAATCATAATTAAAAAGTGCCTTGCCAATAATGTCCAGTGTCAAACGGGAGAAAAGTGACTCCATCTCTACATCTTCCCCGTCAGATGCAGCAGCATCTAGCTTTTGGCAAAGCCTCTCTGTAGCTTCTCCAAAGAGATTAATCATAGCTGCTACATACTACAATTTTAAATAAAAAACTAGAATTAACAATAAAAAAAATAGTTACGAATAGTTCCTGTGGTCTGCACCAAGGTTTATCTTACAATGAGGTAGCTCCAAAATTGCATGAGAAATTGGACAAGGTTCTTATTAGGCGTACAATTCATAAAATTTCTATGTGCAGTTTTCTAAGAAGAAGGTTTTTCTTCATAATAGACAAAATCAATGTGCTCTTTAAATTTTTTAAAATTGGTTAGCATACATAATATTGTAATCTTTCTTAATTGCAAGGAGCAATTTGGAGGAACAGCTGTTCTACAGCAAAATCAAATGACTATTCCTCAAAATTGCTCCTTCTGATGCAGGGAACCATGGGAAAGGGTACACAACACCTTCTGATGCAAGTAATAGTTGAATTACATCAGAACATCTGTTCCTCCTAATTCTGATTTTGGTTTTCATATCACAGGTCTTGGTTCACACTTTGATATCCCACTTTTCCCTTAAACAGGCTTTTCTTCCACTGGAAACATTGAATGTAGGGAGCAGAATAAGAACGAAATACCTTCTGATGCAATGCGGGGACTATAGCACGTCGTCGAACACGCCATATTTCACCGTCTGCTGGGATGAGTCCTTTCCCCATGACAAACTCTAGAATTTCAGCCAAGATTCCCTGTGCACAAAGTAGCTATCAACTGAAAGACAGACAGAGAGAGGACAGGAAAAGAAATTTACCAATTGGGTTTACCTTTGAATAAGCCTTTGAATTATCCCTTAATATATGTTTGGCAATGGAAGGATCAGAAACGATCAAAAAGGACTGCAGAAAGAATCAACAAGTAATTCACTGAGAAGCGGCACTGCCGTCATAACAATCTAATAAGTTTGAAAGAGACTACTATTAATCAAATGAGATATATATTAGAAATAAAAACCTTTGGTCCAAAGGTCAGCCTGTAAATTCCACCATAGGTGAGGTAAAGCTCATATAGTGGGATGAAAAAGGCCTCATTTTGAATGGCTCTAATTTCTCCTTTTGCCTCTGGAATTTTGGGAGAGCCATCATGTGCATCAGCCCAACTGAATAAAAAATCTACAATCTCCCGAGGAACACCCAACTTCGACAAACCGTTCTTCAATTGAGATGGATAACTAATTACCACATCCAAAAGACTTGGAGTTATGAATCAACACACAAAAATTTGGATGTATAATAACACAAAAGTAAAGCTTTCCAACTAGCTTCTTCTAGTATTAAGTATGTTCAAAATTCGGTGACAATTTTAGTCAGAAAATTTAATCAAATGTAGCTGAAATTGCCCAACATAAGCAAAACTAAACCCATAGTTCAATCTCTAATAAGTATACCCAATTTTCTCGACAGTGAATTCTCCTGAGGCAATCCGAGCAGACAGCTCAGCTCGCCTTTTCTCTTCAAGCAACCGCTCCACGCTCTTCACACCATCCACAGAATCAGGCTCTCTTCCATTAGAAGAAGAGCATGTAACCATAGATAAACCAAAAGTTCCTGCAAAACCCACCAAAAGGGTTAATAATGGTAAGCAAAAAGGAGCTCAAAGATGGAAACTTTTGTAGAATGGACGACCTCTCTGCTTGGTGGGTCTGAGTCTGTTCGAGTGAATCTTGGCTTGGAAGGTTTTGGTGGGGACGAACTGAAGCAGAGGAATAGTGGCAGCCATTGGTTACAGGGACGGCCCCAGCCCTCAGGATTGGCAATTGAGGGTGTTGGGCAGTGCCAGCAACTGAGAGAGAAGAGCATAAGAAAGAGATAGAGGAAGGAAGGAAGATGATAACGCAGAGGCCAAATGTGGCCGTTTTGTAGCGCACGTACAACGCAATTGGTGAATGAAGAAGTATCTTTTTGAAGTGGTGCTTGCTCAGCTAACTGCCAGATACCCGCCCATTAAACTCCAAGGGTGTCAACGATTCGGTATTTTGACCCGACCCGACATGAGTGACAAGTAATTAATATTCATTTCATTCTAATCTCAAAATATGCTCTGTCATTACTTCGTTTACAAAACAAACACAAATTAAACTGTTTTATTTCATAAATAAATAGGATTGATGGTTGGTTTGGTTGTATAATGAATATCATCTTAAACAAATATTTAAACAAGTCATGACTTGTTAAAATTGCTACACACTTAGCACATGTAATCTTTGACTGTCATGTTGATCCCCGAATTTTCTAATAATAATTCACTAAACATAAAAAGAAATTAACCCAAATCAAAATACCAAGACTGATCAGTCGCACATAGTCCCTTTTCCGGGATTTATTCATAATTAATGAAACACAAAGTAGACGGCTAAGGACAATTATCTGCTCCAAGTTCCAGCAGATGTTATCATATAGCAGCAAAATTCACTCATCTTCATGGTGTATGATTCCCTCCTGCAACACATGAAATAGAATCAACTTGAATCAACTTATTTGTAATTAATAGCAGGATTAATTATATTCTTGTACAAATTATTTAATGATAATTAGGCACCATTGTTGCGCCTCTGCATCCCAAGAAAAAGTCGCAGGTGTGGATCCACTGGCAATCCCATGGCTTCATACATCGGATCATAAAGCGAGTTCTTGATAGGCCTGCAGGGGTTTATGCATATTTAATTTATTTGATGAAGATAGAGATCACATTATTATATCCGTATCACTAATGAAATTAATTAATGATGTCTTAATTACTTTGAGGCCGGAGCATTAGGAATAATACTGTTGCCATAGTTCGGGCCTTGGGAGGCTTGACCTAATTGCGTCGACCAATGAGCTCTATTGGGTACATGAAGGTTTGGTGTTGGTGCAGCCATGTTGATGTTGTCTTCCCAATTATTCATTGTCATCTACATCATACATGTGTGTAAGTAATGGATATATCAACCACAGACAAAGATCAATAGTGTGAAATTAAGTTACCCTCGGTGTCCTCGCCACTTCTGCCACTGGGTATGGATGTCCACCAGCAAAGTTTCCGGTCATTATTCCGTGCTGAAAAAGAATTGGGAGACTTTGGAAAAACACAAAGGAGAGAGAAATTTTGTAAAAGAAGCCAAAATGGACAAAATTGCCCTTATTTATTTTTGGATTTCCTAAGGAATCCTTTACATTTGCATGTCTTTGATTTGAAAGTTGAGAGGTTTTTCTGTCTTTTTTGAAAAAGCTTTGGCTTTTTCCAAAAGTGAAATTTTTTTTTTGGCTAAAACCTAAATTTACTAAAAGAATTTCAGAGACCAAATATGTATCGATTTAAGACGTAGAGCAAAGTAAAATCATGGAAATATTATACGACCATTTAGTTACAGATTATAGCTATACATATTAATATGTGATCTGAGTAACCTTAGAAAGGCTTGAAATCTCTCTTTAAAAATATATTAAAATATGTTATGCAATATTAATATGGGTTATCTTCGTCTTCAAGTTAACCCTTGAAATACTTTCCGTTTTTCAAATAATATTCTCTATTTTTTGTGCATGACAAGAAATTTCCATAGAAAATTCTGTGCAAATTCTGTGTATGCCTGCATGTATATATATGTGTACTAGGATAAGCCGCATAGATAGAATTTTATTTTATTTTATTTAAAAAAACACTTTTCTTCTACTAGTTAGGACTTGTTTGGGAGTGATTCTGGATAGACTAATAATCACTTATATGAAAAAGTGATTCTCTATATATCACTACAAGTTATCATAGAAAGAAGCACGCGGTGCTTCTCCTCAAAAGTGATTATGACTATCTAAAATCACTCTCAAACGAGCCCTTAATCAATAGAGAAAGTACTAATTATATATATAACCACATTATTTTGAAGACAATTAAAATTTATTAATTAAGAACAAGCTGCACATCCATTTCATATTGCGATACAAACTTGAGAGAGAGAGAGAGAGTATAGAAACTTGATGAGGAAGAATAATATGCATACTTGCTGAGCAGGGATGCTGTGGAGTTGTGGAATCTGCTGGCCTCCAAAGCTTCCAGCAGCCTGGCTTTGGAAAAAGCGTTGGAAATGCAGGTCTTCGCCTCTGTATATATGACGCAAGTTCAATAGTATGTTAATGAATACTAATTTCCATTTGATCTATATACTTGACTGGAGAATCTAAAAACGGGAATTTGGCAATATATAAAATTATATTGATTCGAATGACCACATACAATTAATTTAATTTTTTCAATTTAAAAATAAGAAAGGTACAATGTATGATTTCACATATTTTCTTTCTTCCCATATAATATAATTATATTCATGTAACATTGTTAAACATTCCATTGAAACCCTTTCTCAAAAAAAAAAAAAAAAAAAAAAAAAAAAAAAATATGAAACAATAACAATTACAAAATTTAAAATAGGAAATCTCGCATACCAAATAGCTATATGTTATCTCGGAGAAAATGAACGATGACGAAATTTTTTAACAGTATGTCTTATGAAAATCAAACTCAGACAGCCATGATCATAGCTATGTGATTAATTAATTATACCCAAAAATAGTTGGAGGCTGATTAGTGGATCTCATGAATGCAGCAGTATTTCCATTGTCCAATAGTGGCTGCACCTGCACATGCATATAGACAACAAACAAACAACATCATATAAATAACTCAAGGAATACCATTTTAATGATTATATTTGGCATTTTAATTCCTCACCATCATATGGGAGGTGTTTGACTGATGACGGTGCATATTTTGGCTCCCAAAAGCAGCACTGCTTCCACTTCCGCTGTCCAGGTTTCTGATTGGGGTTTGATCAAGAGGGAACAGCATGCTAGGATTGGTGCGGGTGTTGTTGTTGTTGTTTTCTTGTGCCATGGTTGGCAATTGAGAGCTAAAACAATTTGGTGACACAGCAGCTAGGGTTAATATGATTCATTGGAACTACTCTCACAATGTATGTATATATATACACTTGAATTAGTAGTATTCTTAGGATATTAGTTAATATTGACTGAGGAAAAAGGATATTAGTTAGGTTAAGAAACTGATAGCTAATATAGCACTGAGATTTTCTGTCATATTAATTGTATATAGCACTGAGATACATACTAGAGAATTTGCTGAAAATACTGCTGGTTATGGTGGTTGCCACTTGGCACAAAACTGCTCGACTCATTTCCAAGCAAAGAACTGAAGGGAATTTCGGAGCTAATAAGTGAGTAGTACTGATCAAGATCGGCTTGTGCATCCACCTGAAAAAAAAAGGAACAATATTATATACATTTATTTTTATAATTAATCAATATATATGAAGTATAGTATACTGAAATAAAATTAATTATTAAGAGCATACTCCAGGTGATGCCCCTCCTGCTAATGCAGAATCAACTGAAGGGCTGGAGTGTGAGGGAGTATTCGGAGTGCCGCTGGCAGCACCACCCTCGTATGTCACCTGTGGATCCTCCGGCAGCCTGTAAGTGCGAGTAATAATAAATTAATTAAGATCCAAAAAATTATAATCAGCCCCAAAATTAAAGAAATAATTAATCTAAATTAAGCTATTTATATTATATTACTGTTGGTCATGGGGCAACATTGTTGCAGGATCCTGATCATCACTAAGACTAGTAAGATCCTCCTCCTTGTTTTCAGAAATTGGTTCTTCATTTGCCACTGCTTCATTATCCACAGATTGGATCACTTGCTCCTCATCCACACCGTCCGCTACTGCTTCATTATCAATAGCTTTCACTGGTTCATGATCACCCTCAGCTTCCAGTTCTTGCTTATCCTCCACTACTTCCCCCTGCTGCAGGTATAATGGATCAACTTGTTTAACTATATTATTAATCTGTGATTAATTGATTTATCATTTATCTTACAACATGATCATCCTTTTGTGACTGCTGGGATGCATCTTCATGTGCACCACGTAGCTTTTGCAGAAAATGATTTTAAAAACAAATAATTTTTCAAATAAATAAATACAAAAAATAACTATAATACCAACTCTCATAATGTAAGCATATGCACATAGATAAATTAATGCACAACGTCTATGTGTATCTAATAAGCTTGATTCATGATGACTAGTACGAGCTATACGCTCCATCAAATTATTATGACCAAATCCAATTAGATTTACTCCAAAGATAGTTGTAAATATTTTTAGAGATTCTAACAGCACTCAAACTGATGTAGTTGTCAAAATTATATTACATGAAGTTAGTTCACGCATTACCCCTTTATCGCTCTTAGCTTTAGAGGTGTCTTCAAGTATGTTGTCGTTGGTAGGCTTTGAAGTATCTTCAAGCATGTTGTTGCTAAAATTGGTCTGATCAGTTGACATGGTAAAGTAGTAGAGATCCTGAAAAAGATACCCAAAAACCTCAATCAAAATCTAGAAAATTAAATATGGCAAAACAAACATTTCAAAATAGAATAAACAAAAGTAATCATCACAAAACTAAGTGATCTTTCAATGGCGATTCTTTCAACATGTAGGATATATATCGTAATCGTTGTTGAAGTAATCAAATATATATAAGCAAAATGTGTAAATAAGGAAAATGTAAACAAAACTCGTCGGCCGTTTGTTTTCATATGATACACTTCATGGAATTCAGAACATTCCGACCAGAAACTTTTGAGTAAACTTCTATTTGTTTGAAATGTTAAATTGAAAACGTCTCAAATTGAAGTGTAATTTAAAAGAAAGAGAAGTAGTAAACAAAACATATAAACAATCGAATTCCGAGGTTGTTTTTGGCTACCCTAAGGAGGAGGCGGAGGTGGAGAGGTGGTGGTGGAGGCGGCACCGATTCTTAATCCCAATAAAATATTATAGCGATATATATATATATATATATATAGGAGCAGTTGAAGCTTTAGAAAAGAAATACTATAATTTGGAAAAAATGGGAAAAGGAAAAAGATTGCAAAAACTTAATAAGGAAATCCCACGTTATAGTTCTAATGTTCACCATGATCTACATTATCATAATCACTGAATTTATAAGACAATTTGCAATTTGACAAACTCAAATAAATAGTGTTTGTATTCAGATTTAGGAGGGAAAACCCAAAAAAGGAATTATTTGAATTTTGTAAATATATGTCTCCTAACAACAGGCAAAGACCCTGTGCATGTATCTATAAAAACTTATTTCTCTTTATATGTTAATTCTTCCTAGAATTCACAAATTAATGTATATATGGAAAAAATAATATTATAGAAACGTATGTATTTACCAAACTGCCACAACTTTATATGTACACCGATAGTTGAGTTTTCTTTGTGTGTGTATATTTGTTCGAAATTGCTATATACTTCCAACATTAGTATGTATGGCATTGGCAATCAGATTCCTTACAAATACTATTACTAAATAAGAATATAATATGCATGCACGTAGCAAATTAATTAATGAAATGCCTATTTAGTCAAATACCAGAAAATTTAAGGAGGACAGAGGACAAAAACTTATCCTACACCTACGCTTAACTCGATATCGTTGTATACATTTTATATCTATTATATAATATAGGAGTTTTTATTTCTATATATTGAAGTTATAGTTTTATCTTTTGACAAAATAAAATAAAAATAATTGAAGCAAGGACTAGTGTTCTTTATATGAGGAATGGGCTAAGTTTGTGATTCATTTTGGAAACATTAGACTAAATATTAATACTACATTTTTCTATCCTAGAAAGATGTGTAATTCATGAGAGCCGTCATATGGTTCCGTACGTTCTTGTTCGTAGCTATATGTTTCTTTTTTTGTTATTAATTCAAGTGTTATAATATGAATGGACTTCGAGTTTGTATTTTAGGGTATATTAATCATATATATAAATGAATGAATAACGCCATAAGTACGGTGAGAACGAAAAATGGCTCATGTGTGATTAATATTATTGAAAATTTTAAGTTAAAACTGCATGACAAGTGAGATCGTATCAAGAAATGCTTTTAAGTTTTTGTTTTAAAACTAAACAAGATGGAAAGAGAAATGAGAGAGGAAGAATGGGGAAAGAAAAATAAGAAAGGTGAAAATGATATGTAAAAGCAAAATTTTAAAAGTTCGAAACAATCTAAAAACAAAAAGAAAACATTATTAATTATACACGTGACTCATATTACCTGATTATCTGTAACACACACTTAATTTAAGGATAGATATAGCTATGTCATACTCCGTGAGTGCAAAAACATTTCACTTAAAAAGAGGTGTACATGACTATATATAGGAAATCGAGTTCAAATATATGATAAACTAAGTGACGAGTCGAGTGAGTGGAGTAATGCACTTAATATGATTAAAAAATTATTAAACGAAAATTATTGCCAGTCATTTATCAGAAAAAAATATATATATATATGACAACTGAGTGATCTAACTAGCGGGGTAACATGCTAACCGTAGTACAAAATTTCGATATTTTCGCTGAAATATCGGCGAAAATATCGTTTTTTTGGGGCTCCAAAATTTTAGCACACTTCCAAGTATATATCGTCATTTTATCGATATTTTCCTCGATAATTTCGAAGATATTTTGGGGAAGATATTTTCGTCCAATTCGCAGTTTAAATGGTCATAATATCGCGATATTATGGATAATATCGCGACTTGAACTGTGTCAAAAATGAAACAATTTAAATATTTCAATAAATAATACCAAAATAAACCCTAAGATCCACTAATCTGTAAATATTTCAAAATCCGATCTAGAAGCATAAGACTTGAGCTCGGATCGAACAAACACTCAGCAATCAAAAACAATTATCATCAACAAATAAGATTACGATTTCGAAAAGAACAGAAAAGGCGCTCTGATCTGTAAATATTTCAAAATCCGATCCAGAAGCATAAGACTTGAGCTCAGATCGAACAAACACTCAGCAATCAAAAACAATTATGGAGTGGGTTTTATGTTTTGTTGTTTTAGATTGTGATGAAGTGAGAGAGAAAAGGGAAGAGGAAGCAGGGAAAGAGACGAAGAGATAGAAGAAGAAAGAAAAAAAAAGCAGATATAGGAGAGCGAGAGAGAGAAGGGAAGAAGAGGAAAAAAAAAGGCATGGAGGATTGTGATGGAGGAGAGAGAAGAGGGAAGAGGAAGAAGAGAGAGAGAGACGGAGAGATAGAAGAAGAAAGGGAGACAGAGAGAGGAATAAATAAATAAAATAAAAAGGGAGAGATGGGTGAATGCCCGAAAGAGAGAGAGAAGGTTGCGTGTATCTATTTGCAACCTTCGGAAGTCAGACAAAAAAAGGGAAAAAAAAAGCCTTGGGAAGTGGAAGAGGGAGGTAGGGAAACGTGAAAACATTTGGGAAGTGTGAAATGTGACTTAATTACTTAATATAATTTATTTCTTTTTTATTTAATCTATTTAATGTTATTCATTATTTTATTATTCATTATAAGTACTTACATTACTAAATTCTCCTTCAAATTGTTGCTTAATTACTTAAATCTCTATAATCATTTTCATTATTTGCTTCCTTGGATAAGTTTATTTATGTTCTTAGTTAATTTTCAATCTTCACTATTATTTTTTAAGCATGGTAAAGTGCCTAATTTTCATGAAAAATCAAATTGGTTTACATCTTCAAATTTTCTAAGAGGTGTTTAATTCTCTTTCATTAATTACTTCAAATTTTCTAAGTCACAGAGTTTGTCAGGTCGCAATATAATCAACTTAAATCACACAAACCCACTATGCAATGCATTTCCTTCCAATTTTTTGTGTCAAAATAATAGATGATTGACTAAATAAATTTATTCTAAAGTTTCATTAAAAATTTCCATGTATTTATCATAATTTCCGTGGTTTTTATCCAATTTTTATCGATATTGATATTTTCCCGATATTTCCATCGATATTTCCATGTTTTTGAACCATCGATATTTCCGAAACTATCGATATTTAAGACCTTGATGCTAACTAGTACTATGGGATGCATGAATATTGCAAGTGTCAAAAAAAATCATGCTACTAACTGAGAGGGGGCAAGCACAAGCTGAGTTGCTGATGCTGTGCATGTACAGATCTTCTGGTAAGTGTCAAAGAGATCATACTGACTTTTTACTTTTTATCTTGTATTTGCTTGCAGCAGTTGTTCCAAGAATCGAAGCTCGAGTCCCTTCAATATCAATCCTGCACATCATCAAGGGAGGAAGGGGTGAGAGAGAACACAGATCTCAACTCAAGTAGCATATATCTTCATCAATCATAGACAAAAACAAAACAGAGCGAAAAATCACACAAAAATAAAAAATCTTGTTTAGCTGGCTATGCATATATACAAAGGTAAATCTGCATCAGATAAATCAGAGCATGTTTAGTTGTCTATCTGATATGATAGAAGCAGCGAAAAAGAGAGGATGAGAATGGTATATATATATATGCAAAGGTTTCTCCACAAGCTTGACAGAGATTAAACACCCAACTAACCTTCACTGGCCTCTTAGAACTCCATCGCTTTGTCTTTGTAGCACAATCAACACACACATATACACAATTTGGAATCACCTATGGTGGTCACTCCGCATTATGTTCATAAGAACTCAAATTTATGGTTTAGAATGTGTGACACAACAAAATTTTATTTGTAATAAAAAAAAGGATAAAATTTCTATATGTACATGTATGTTTAACAAACGCCAGTTACATCTCATTCTAAATTGGATTAAATTTTCCCTTTTGCAGATTTTCTCTTTGTGGATCTACTACATCCTCACGTCTCTTGTGAATTTAATTTAATTTTTTCTGGAACTTAAACATTAAACATCTTAAAAATAATGGAAAAAGAGGAAATAAATAAAATAAAGAATTTTATATTTTTGAATACTGAGGAGGGTGAGAAAGCCCATCAACCACCGAAGGTGTCAAAGCCCATCGATAACTAAGAAAGAAATATAAAGAAATCTGAAATCCAATAAAATTCAGCCCAAGTAATGCAAGGCCTTCTATCTGCTACCATATTCTAATCTCAGCTGAAAAATAAATAAAAATAAAATCAGACCGATATAATAAGAAGAGATCGGAGAAAGAAAATAAAATCTTCGTTTAAAGGTCGGTTTACACTTGAGACTGGTAATAGTAAAATACCTGGCCGCCATTCTTGCCGAAGGCGGTTTCGGAGGAGAGCGAGAGCGAGAGCGAGAGCGATACAAGTAGTAGTCACAGACTCACAACTCACACAACTCACTGTGAGTTCTTTATCTCTATACTTTTTATGCGTCTTTATAGCTAGGGTTTCTGGCACGATTCACCGCCACTCGAGCCTTCACTTTTCTCAATTTCTCTAGGCAAATTCGTGGTATTAGTTATTTTCTTCCCCAT